ATTTTTAACTTTTTTTCATTTTTGGATATTGCTGGTTTGACTGGCGTGAAGGGTGTTATAGACAGATATTTCTCAGGGATGGGTGTGATCCAGGAGCCTTCCCCACTCTTTTTCCTCCCACCATAGGTACGTAGACAGTTTGTTTTGCAATCGATTTGAATGCTTGTTGAAAAATTGTGACTATCAGAAATTGTTTAAAAAAAAGACACATATGTGATAAAAAACACTTTTCGCATTACCGATCAGTTTTGCATTCGAAAAGATTATCCAGAGATCCATTCTTATCTCTGTTGATGCTCGGTCCGTAGCCGGACGAATGCCACACTCCAAGCGAACTTTTCTCTCATTCTTCCGAGGATAGAACATTCCTCTAAAATTTCAGCTTCCTAGCTTTTGTGATTCCAGAGTTATCAGTTTTGGCGCCAAAACTTTCATGCGACCGTACGTGAGACTTAGGCATACGCTGGGGCTGAATTTGAGCTCCCGAGATCATGCTCCGGCCGGAGACCTAAAATCTTAAAATCTCAGCTTCGCCAATGACGTTAACTTATCTAGGCAAAGAACTCGATTTTACGATTTTCGCAATTTTTACTCGAAAAATGAGAGAATATTCAGCGGTTAACTTCCCCTTATGACTGAGTTGTTGCATGTAAAGAATAAGAAAAACTGACCGGGGCAAACCCCCCCTCCCCAACCCTCACCACAAACGCTTTCCCCTTCAACCAAGGTAGGTGTCAGCTTAGTGTCGTAATCGGCTTAGCCTGGTCGTTGCAGTTGTGTCTCTCGGATAACAGCGGATGGCATCGTTTGATCCGGTGGAGCTCGCTGAAGCGATAAGGCATGAATTCATTGTGGACGATGATTCGGGCTTATGCGCCAAAATACTACGCCATCCTGCACGGTACAATCTTTCAGATCCTTTTCAAATAGTTTCTCCATTACTGCTCGTTGTTTGCATGAGATTTTCTTTTGATTCTTGTAACAGTGCATTTCTTGTTCTATGCATCTTTGTTCCGAGGATAGTTGAAATTGACTGTTTGAATGCATAGAAATAGTAGTACATTAACTTTTGGAACAGAATTATTAAAGTTTTTTCGTTTAGAAAATCAAAGCCAGGTGGTTTGCCGTTGAATTTTCGCTCGGCAGCTGATTCGGACTCCGACAGCGACGGGTATTCTCCGTGTTACCTGGTTAGTCGGGTTTCTTTTTCATGCATCTACTGTTGCGATTCGTTTCAATAGTAAATTGGCATGGGCATATACCAGGAAATCAAACCTCGGCTTGTTACTGTTGGCATTTGCTACCACTCGGGCTACTTCCTGCCTATCGCTGAAAAAGAAATACGGAGGGTGGTTTGACTTTAGCAATTTCGTCACTTTTTTCTCGGTTCTGGTACCGTACAATAAATTTTCTCAGCCGGCCATTGTTGAGGGCCTAATTATTGATCATCTTTTGAGAATCTAATTAATGATCATCTTCTAACCGGTAAAGTATCTCATTTTGTTCTAAAACGTAACGATGTTTGGCGCGAAATTTTAATGTCCATTATACATGAGGGACATCCTCAAAAGGCTAGGACCGACCTTACCAAGTGCTTTTGCTGGGAGAATCACTGAGCTGATATCCCTTCAGGAGACAAAACAAACGATTAGCACTGATTAAAGCAACTGGCAAAATTGCCAGCAGCGTATTTAAAAGACCATAGGTTACAGCTGCTTGGTTCAAACTTAAGCGTTTCAGATATTACTAATTGCTTTTAGGCAACTGCTGATACTCAGTCCACCTATGAACTTATTCAAGAGCGTCTACGCAC